TGGTACCTGACCCTTTCACCGCCTTGTCATCTTACAGGCTGGTGTGCTTCTTCCATGTGGGCTTTGTTGTTTCTCAGTCTTGTTTATCTTCCAGCATGTGGGACCCCAGATTCTGTGTAATTTGACAGCTTGGCACCATCAGCTTTCTTCACCACATTTACTTATGTACCCGCTTTGTCTTCAGCATTCGTGTTGGGGTAGGCTGGTGTGAGTTTCCAATATTTTAAACAACTTTTTCATGTAGATCCATTATCAATATTGGGGTACAGTTTACTTGAAATATCATTATCTGACCTTGGTATCAAGGTATGAGACTCACTGGTCTCATAGAAAATGTTACTAAGTGTGCTCTCACAGACATTGTTATGTCTGCTCCCAATGACTTGAACTTAAAAACAAAACATAAAGTGTTTACTCATACTGTGTGAATACTCTGTTGTCAAGCTGCCAGAATCTTCAACTTTAATCTGTCTTACAGTTAGCCTCGAAGTTTTCCATCGAATTTAATTTTGATTCAGTTGATTATAGGCCTTCTGAGCATCCTGAAACCCACTCAAGTGTCATAGATCACTTAGTCTGGCTGGATCCTCTGGTCTTGCAGCTGACCCCTCAGTGTAGAGGACTTTGTGATTTACGCTCCCCTTGACAGACAAATAGTCACTCACACTTTAGTGACTGTGTGCTGACCTCACACTAGAGCCCAAGTTTGGGAAATACTCTGCGATAAGACATGCTGGGTGGATCTTAGAGAATATTCTTCAGCTCACCTCCAGGCAAATTGTCTAAATCAATGAGGGCCAGGAATTCCTCAGTGATTTTTTTTTCATTGGTTTGTTACACACACACACATACACACACACACACACACACACACACACACACACACGAAACCCATTCCTTCTTTTTAGTAAGAGAGCTTATGTTCCAGCAAATGTCACATGAAAGGTTTGGCATCGGTTACCATGGAAATAACTTTTGTAAACATAACTTACACACTGGTATTTTGGGCATGTCTTGAATACTGATCAGTGGTTTCTGAGGTGGTTGTTAGGTGTCATTGAGTTGATTCCACATCCGAGGGACCCAGTACACAACAGAAGGAAACACTGCCTTCTCCTCTGCCAGACTCACCATTTAGCAGGAACCCATTGTTGCCGTCACTGTGTCAATCCATTTAGTTGGGGACTCCTATTTTCCCTGCCTTCTACTTTACCACCTACACTATCCTTCTCCAGGACTGCTCCCTTCTGACAACATTGTCCAAAGTATGTAATATGAACGCTCACTATCTTTACCTCCAACTAGCACTCTGAGCTTACGTCTTCGAAGACAGGATTGTTTGTGCTTTTGGAGACCAATGTAATTTCAGTATTATTGGCCAGCATTACAATTGAAACAAATCGATTCTTCTTCAAGCTTCCTTATTCAATGTTCAACTTCCACATACATATGAGATGGTTGACACTACCTTGCTTTGGGTGAGGTGAACCTAGCCCTCAAACAAAGGAAGATCCCTGCTCTTCAACACTCTAAACAAGCCTAATAAGGCATCTTTATCCAATACAAGGTATCTATTGATCTCTTGACTGTTACTATCACCCTTCTAGTTCTTTGGGTATTTTTTGCATAAGCTAACAGTATTTCTGGAAGGCATTTAAACTTAGTCAAGCTTAAATTAAGAATGTTGCTCAGGAGGGGCCTGGAAGCCAACTTTACTCTGCAACCAACCAATGTAAGAGCTCTGAGTTTAAGCCTGTTTTTAAGACCCTGTGGAATGGTGAGCCTTATATTCAAAGTATGCTTGATGACTGGTATAATGAGAGAGTCTAATACAAATTGTGCTTTTCTCTAGCAGCCTGACTTGCTGATTAGTTTTAGAGGAGCACTAATGTGCACCTTTTATCCTATAACTGCAACCTCACACTCCCTGCCTTCAGAAACACCCTGGGGGTTACAAAAGGGCAGTGCCAATGATCTCCAACCAGCCACTCAGGCTAATACCTCCCTGCTTTATCACAGCATAGCCTCTTCCCAGCACATTCATTTTGTTTTCCTGCCAAACTAGGTTCCTGGTGGAGCATGTTTCACAAGCTCAGGCCTAGATACTAGCTTTTCCCCTTCTCCCTGGAAGAGCAACACTATGGATGGGACATCCTAGAACCCAAGTCAGTAAGCCCTCTCCTACAGCTTGTGTTGTTTGCCATCTGTCAGCATCACCTAGAGCTTGGACTCCAGAATCTAGGCCAAGATGACACAATGGTTGATCAGTCAGCTCTTTCCTGGGTCCATCTTGTTCTTCTAAGCTTCTGCCCTCACCTTGGCTCTTGGCCTGACCCATCTACCTACTCCTTAACATTCCTTGTCTGTAGGCTGCAGTCTTTCACAAAGGCTTTAAAATTGGACATCCGTAAACCCAAGAGCTTAATAGAGTAGCAAATAAGGATTCCCCTGGCTTGTTTTCTTGTTTAGGATATCTCTGTGTTGGCCAAGGTGCCTCTAGGATGTCGTGTTGGTGTCCCTCTGTCTCTTGTTGTCCACCTGCACAACTTTCTCTAGTTACCACACAATTGTGCATAAATGGGTTACCCAACCTTAGGCATTTCTTCACACACAATACATATTGTAAAGAATACACAGGATGCAAGGGGATTGGGGCAGGTTAAACGTGATAAAAAGCTCGTCATGGATTGGAGTGGCACATATGAGCATGATTCAGCTTGATCACTTTCGCCAGATATGTCAAGGGTTGTGGTCTGAGGTGTGGTACGGGCTGGTAAAGAACGTTCTTCATACAATATTCCTTTCTTCACTAGATTGCTGGTGAAAAGAAGATATTTACCTTCAATGGAGCTTGAAAATTTTGAGGCCTTAAATTTATTTTACTCGAAAATAAATATTGTATATATAGGATGTGGATCCAAAGTTGAAAATTATATTTGAGAGATTAGTAAAATTGCTTTGTAAAGATAGGGTGGGCTCTTGTTTAATGCAAACACCCTCAGATTGGAGCATGGTTTTGATCCCAAGGGGTGGGGGTGGTCACTATTTAGCACAGGAAGTACAGGCCAAGAACCTGACTGCCTTTCTTAACATTGACTCCTCTTCTGTTTCAGAACAAAGAAATATGGCCCAGTCTGGGGAGTTAGAAATCTCTTACTACTGTCTTGCACATTGAAGCATCACAAGGAAGGATTTCATCTTCTGACTGGGTTATGAACCAAATCCATTCACCTGACTCCAAACAGGGTGAGCCACTCTGGGGTCCCTGGGGACAGCACCAGGTGAGGAGCTTGAGGGGAAACAGGAGGGATCCGTGTTTCCTGAGGTCTGACCCTTGGGGAGCGCCAGTGTACAAGGGTCCAGGCTGTCCTGATGGTCAGAGTCAGAGGTCTTTGCTCATCTCCCTGAATGACAGAATTCACTGGTAAGTAACTCTTGTAATTGTATTCAAAGTTAAAAAAGGCTCGTGCTGTAGTAGTTACAGATTGGGCTGTTAACTGCAAGGTCAGTGATGCAGAAGTGTAAGTCACACCAGGGTTGAAAGACAGGGTGTCTACTCTTGTAAAGAGTTAGTCTTGGACACCCACAAAGGGCAGATCCATCTTCTCCTAAAGGGCCGCTATAATCGGAATCCACTCAATGGCAGTGAGTTGGGTTTTAGGTTTCGGTTGCTGATGACAGTGACAACTCTGTCGATTTGCTGTGTCCCCACTTTGATTAAGCCTCCATTAAATTCTCTCTGATCATTAACCAAGCAGGTAGATCATCTGCCCCTGGGGGAGAATGCCCTAGAAGTAGATTGCCTGCACTCCTTTCCAGCCAGCCCTCTCCACTTGCCTGCCTAGGTATATCCTTGATGGAGATCAACTTCCTGAGGCCAGAACAGGGGCCACTGTCATGAGTCTTGCCTTGACTGGCTTTGTGTAAAGGCCCTGGACCTATCGTGTAAGTGCCTCTATCTAATAATGTGCACGTCCTAATCATGGCCCCATTCCTGCTGCTGCAGCCCCATCTGTACCTGTGATGTATTAATCTGGCACCAGTCGTGATCTGTGACATGCCTTTTGTTCTATGCCCTGTTTATTCAGGATCCCGACCTAATCCTCGGTTTTTATTTTGACTTCGTGCTAATGGCCTCCCTTAAATATATGATGTGTGTGTGCGTGCGCGCTCGCACACACGCATGTGTGTGTATTTTGTTATCTCTTAAGTTTAATAGATGTTCTCCTTAGATTATATTTGACATAAGACTCACTTTTCTACCCTAACACACAATTTAGGATCACAAATGACTCAAGGTACAGTTCTTCTTTCGGACAGCATCCTGACAGACATACCTGCAGGTAAAGTCAGGCCCTGCAGCCTCCTGGTTTCTATCCTGAATGGGCAAATGTTGCAAAGGTTTTTTAGCTCTGCAGATAAATGCCCACTCTTCCCCTTAGCCTCAGACCAAATACACTCAGCTCTGTGTGGGTTGGCAAATCTAGTTCCCCAGATAAGTGCTCATATATACACCACTTCACCTACTAACCTCCTGCTCACAGGCACTGAGCTCTCTTGTTCTGTGGCCTGAGAATCCCACTGCTCTCTCAGTGTCTTTTTTTTTTTTAATCATTTTATTGGGACTCATACAACACTTATCACAATCCATACATACATCAGTTGTGTAAAGCACACTTATACATTCGTTGCCCTCATCATTCTTTCTTTTTTTTTTTTTTTAACATTTTATTAGGGGCTCATACAGCTGTTATCCCAATCCATACACACATCAATTGTGTAAAGCACATTTGTACATCGTTTCTCAAAACATTTTCTCTCCACTTAAACCCCTGACACTAGGTCCTCATTTTCCCCCTCCCTCCCCGCTCCCCCCTCCCTCATCATTCTTAAAACACTTGCTTTCCGCTTGGGCTCCTGGAGTCATCTCCTCATTTTTACTTTATTTTTCCCCCCTCCCTCATGAACCCTTGATAATTTATAAATTATTATTTTATCATATCTTACACTGTCCAACGTCTCCCTTCACCCACTTTCCTGTTGTCCATCCCCCAGGGAGGAGGTTATATGTAGATCCTAGTAATCGGTTCCTCCTTTCTACCCGCTCTCTCAGTGTCTTGGTACCACGGCCACCATGTCTCTGTTTCTGCTTCTCCCCAACACCTTATCTCTTGTGTCCCAGTTCTGTATCTTCTGGATTGAAGAGTTTCAATACAAGAATCTAGGATGCAAAGGCCCCTACTCCTGGCTCGTCTTTCTAGATGGTAGTGAGATCCTAATTTCTGTTTCTGAAATGGCTCAATTAAGCCTCCGTGATATCCAATGTGACTAATTGCCGGGTTAGCTTATTAGACATCTTATTTGCACAGCTACAAGGGTACCAATCTATTGTCGGGCAAGTTGTCCAATCCTCTTAAACTAGAAAAACCAAACTCAATGCTATCAAGTTAACACTGACTCATAGAGAGTTTTTCGACAGGGTAGAACTGTCCCTGTGGGTTTCAAACACTGTATCTCTTTAGCAGAGTAGAGAGCCGTGCCACTCGTGGGAGAAGAGAGCACTGTCTTTCTTTTGGGGAGAAATATGTGGGTCCCAACTGCTGACCTTGGGGTTAGCAGCCCAACAGTCACCATCGTGCTACCAGGGCTCCTTTGCTTCATTCATATTGGCGACGACAAACCCACGTAAATATTTGGGATGGAGTTAAGGGGCCATAGCTAGAAATACTGTGTACTTGTATCGGCCAAATAACAAACTACATTGGACACTCCAAATAATGCTACATTAAAAACATTGTTTACCTTGGGATTGAAAAGTATACTCACTATGGGGGGATATGTACTTCTTACTTCATTAAAAAAAAAAAAAAATATATATATATATATATAATATAAGTTTCAATCTAACATGATACATAAGTGTTTATTTTGGAGCCCTGGTTTTGACATGTATTAAGAGTTGGCCTGCTAACCTCACGGTCAGAGGCAAAAATCCCATTAGCTGCCTGTCCTGGCTTCAGCATCTCAGAAACTGCGCAGCAGTTTTATTGTGTCCTTTCGGGTACTGACACGTCTCACTCCCCTTGATGGTGTTTTAAAGTGTTTCTAAAGTGATAGTGCAATTTGTAGTTCCTCTAGAAAATCATTTTCAATTTATAATAGCTTTTTATATATATCCCACTTGAAATGCTTCCAGATGCTTTCGTTAACATAATCATCTTCAAAGATCATTGACTTGTCATTCTCCTTGAGAGTCCCACAGTCAGGAATTGATGGTTCTGTGTGCTGTGAGGTAGGGATCCAGCTCTTTTGTTTCCTCCTTTTGACATGTGTTTGATTCTCCAGTCTCTATTTGTTATAAAGTCATCTTTTATTCACATGTCTGAAAATTGTGAATGTTATGTTTTCCGTCACTCAATAGAGTGACCATTACCAGGATTGGGGACTTTGTGTGAAGAAGCGGGAAGAACAGTAGCAGCATCTGGACCTACAGGTTGTGTGTTACTCACATTGTGTTCTCCCCTCAGCCTGCAGATTGTGCATCACCAGCATCTTAGAGGAATGAGGAAGAAGTGCCTGGTTTGGCTATTATTATTTCTGGGGTGCCCTCATGAGAGATTCAAATTTGTCGACATCATTAGAGTTGATCCAGATAAGACAAACATAGAGCATCTCATTTGCCGGCAGTGTCCTAAGGACCAAAGAAAATGACCACGGCTCAGGTGATTCTGATGTATTTTATCCTTTTCTGTATTTCCTACTGGAAGTGTAGGAGCCTGTGTAATACTGATTCAGTTCATTGAAAAAGTAGAAATTTGAAATAGTAGAAGTTTTAGATAAACGTTGGTTCTGATATCAACATTGGGCTGGGGAAGATTAGGAATATATTGATCATAGGAATAACACTAAACTATTGACATTGAGCATAATACATCACTGAGGATTTTTGGCTGGTGTTAGCTTTCAACTCATAATTCACTATTCTGTGGCCAACCCATGAGAATCATTCAAATTAAATGCTATGCCTTGTTTTTATTGAGAAATAAGATCACGTCTTTTGGGGAGTACAGTATTCCATGAGATTTTTGTCTGAATAAGTTTCTTTAATGTTTCTTTCTGAATGTGATGTGTTATGTAATCTCCCAAAGAGCAGCATTCTCTTTAATGCATCTAAAATGGGCCTTGTAGCAATAGTGGTTTAAAAATGGTTGACAGTTTCTCACCTCCTCTAACTATAGATGTAGGAGAATCAACCGTCAGCACCAGCTCTGATTCCTATACGGGAGAGCTTAGACACACCTGTGCCCTCCAGTGCTTTTCCAGTTCTGACAGCAGTTATCTCTACCTTAGTTTCCCCCTTCTCCATCCACTAATTCTATGCAGTGGCCACATACCAATTACAGTCCAGAGTCATAGGTTCAAGTTTTAATAAGGAACAGAATGTAACTTGGTATCAGAATCTTTAGGTTACACATTGGGGTTCATACTAAGGAAACATGTAGGCACATTTGCTCTTCTTCAGGGGAGGCCTGTTTTCCCTGTCCCCTATCAGACATTTCCCCTTCTATAGGTAGGCTCATTTCTTACTTCCATCTGTATAGGCTCCTCTCAGCTCCTTGAGAATATCCTCCTCTTCATCTTGCCTGCCCGTCCCACTCTCTTGGCTGAAAAGCCCTTTCTGGACCTGTCACCATTGGCTCTGTTGCTGTCTTTTCTGCCCTGGTCATTGTCTCCTTTGGACAGCTCTTGACCCATGAATATTACAGTTCATTTTGCAGGAGCAGCAGCAGACCAGTCCCTATGAGGTAGAGGTTCTAGTTCGATGGTTTGCTCTGCAGTACCTCACAGAAACAAATAGCCATCAAGTAAATAACTCTTCAGGATGGGGAAGCCGGTGAGTCCCAAGTCCATAGTTCAGGTATCAGTCCGGAGGGGTCTCCTCATTAATGTGTTTGCCAAGGCTGATCCTCAGGTAGACAACAGTCCACTGCCTGACAAGTTGAAGTTGTTGAATCTGGTCAGATCGTAGGTTACGGGGGTGAGGAACCGGAATGGGAAGGTCACACAGCATGTTGTTGGCTTACAGAGCGGTGGAAACACTCAAATCAGGTCACACAGGTGGCCCCTCAGTTGCAGGGATGTCAAGGAAATGGTTAATATATGTCTGGAAGTTGGCAAATCCCCAAACCATGGCTTCATTCTGAACTACGTGGCTGCACAGGCTAACAAAACCAACTCAATAGGTCAGATGACAGGCCAGTATCTCACAGTTCCTTCCTCTCTCTCTCCCTCTTTTATTCTTGATAGGATGGTTTCGTAGGCCATCCTAGCACCTTCCCTGCCTAGGTAAGATTAGGTGGGCTTCAGAGGTCGAGCCAATGACAATAGAACTAGGAGTGGCCCATTGGTGAGTGTGTGATGACAGGTAGCAGGTCCAGAAGGACCTTGTAATTAAAGTGAAGGCAGTGCTGTCCAATGGTGACTGAGAAGAGTTTGTCCTAAGGTAAACAAGAGGTGCTTGTCCTAAGGGGCCCTTCAAGAGCTTAGGACGTTGTTCTGCACTCAGGAAGTAAGATTTTGCCTAGGAGCTTTCTGTTCTTTGTCCTGAGGGAAGGTTCATGTTCCTGATCCTGACTTTTATCTTGTTCATTAATAAACCACTTTGGTCTATTGAGTTTTTTGTGGCCATATCAATGGATTATCAAATCCAGAAGTGAGACAAAGAGTGGTGTGGGAGGAATGACTTGTGTAAGAATTGACAAAACATGTTGGAGGGCTGAGGTATGTTTGACCTCCCCCTCATAGGGGTCAGCTCTGAATTGAGTCTGATACCTATCACCTCTGAAGGTGCAGAGCATCTCATCATGGTGATACTGCTAGGAGTCCGAATTCCAGTTTTTTTTTTTTTTTTCTTTTTATTTATCATTTTATTAGGGGCTCATACAACTCATCACAATCCATACGTGCATCAGTTGTGAAAAGCACCTTTGTACATTCATTGCCCTCATCATTCTCCAAACATTTGCTCTCCACCTAAGCCCCTGGCATCCGCTCCTCGTTTCCCCTCCCCATTCCCCCGTCCCTCATGAACTCTTGATAAATTATAAATTATTATTTTGTCATATCTTGCACTGTCTGACATCTCCCTTTTCTGTTGTTTGTCCATTTCACAATGTACTGTAAACTTGTTTATTACTATAAACAGGTATGTGTTTATCTACTGTGTGTGAGTATAAATGAGCTATTTCTAGCTCATTCAGCTAATTTCCCTGCTACACAGAATTCTAATTTTATGATTGGGTCTATTATTGTTGGGGCATTAGTGTCTCCAACATTGGATTGGGTCCACAGGAATGACTTTGTGATTGTGGAAAACATTACAGACAGACAGACAGCAGGCATAGGGGCTCCTCTACCCATGACAGGACAGAGAGTGAATGTGTTTTCCACTGGGTATACATGATGGCCCTTACAGATCTTTCGTAAGGCATGCATGTCATAGAGTTAACATACCTAGTCAATGGGTAATAGCATAACCAGGTAACAATAAAATAGCAAGGAGGTGAGTCACTATCTTTACCTAGTGCTAGCTGACCTCCAAACACCCCTTCCACCTCTGCCCTCCCCCTCCCCGTGGGTTTATTACCTTTATGGTGGGTTGGCTATAAAACATGATTGCGCTAATCTGCAGATAACCTTCAGGTATAGTGAAGTAGTCTAGTCCACACAAATGATTCATCTACTATGGTAGCTGCTTTAAGACTGCTCCTTAATGGAGTGCTGTTGTGGGGGGCACATTAGTTGGCCTGGATAACTTGTATTTGAAAACATTTCTATCACGGAACATTGGAGAGTTTTCTCTGAACTTGCCCGTGGTAGCGAGTATAGAAATAAAGTCAAATACTTTCTACCAAGTCCTCAGTTTACCACACATTATGGAATGCACTTTCACAATAGTTTTTATTACTGTTTTGCTTTCTTTACTGTAAGAATATTTTTAAAATCTTCAAGTGTAAAATACACCATTAAATCGACTCCCCTTACTACAGGAATCACTGACATTCAACGATGTGGCTGTAAAGTTCACCCGGGAGGAATGGCAGCTCCTGAACCCGGCTCAGAAGACTCTATATCAGGATGTGATGTTGGAGAACTATCGCAACCTGGTTTCCATCGGTGAGAATTCTCAAGTCATTGACCTCGTCATTGGCTTTTCCTATCTTTTGTGTTAAAATCTTTGCAGTGTCTGTGGTGTTCTCAAAGAGGTAGATTCTCATTGCATTCTCTGGTCTTAGGTTAGTGGGTAGGTCTTCTACCCTTGAGAGAACACCCTTTATTTTGTGCCTTTGAACATGATCTTCCTAGAAATCCAACATTCTGCAGGCTTTAGAAACCTTAGGTTAATGTTGGTGGGTCTGATTCTGTAATTTCTCATGAACAGGTTATCTAGTTGTGACCCCAGTAGCTTTCACTCAATTGGAACAAGGAGAACTGCGGTCTGTGTTAGAAACAAGCTATAGTGGACTTTTTTTCAGGTTTGTGGTCATAATACCTTAAGGGGGGAATTGGCCGGTGTGGTTGATTCAACTGGTAGAAGGCCTCACAGCCATGATAGGTGTCGGATAATGCATAAAAGTGTGCACCTCTTTGATTATGAGAACTCACTTTTCATGGAAGTTGAGAGAACTACTCCTCTAGCTTTTCTGAGATTAGATTTTCATTTATTTGATTTACACTAGTGTATGTGTGGTTTCATAATTTTCTTTCTTGAAGATTCTCAAACCCTTCCCTCTTTCATGTTCTTCTACCTTACTAGGAAAGTCCGTCGTATAAGCCTCTCTCCATCCAGAGAACATTCAATCTGTAACTGTTGTCCAAATACCGCACATTCTTCCCCTATTGAGTAAGGATGGATTTCCGTTTGTAGTATCTAATCCCACCTTGGATCTTGGGCTTCACCATGGACGGGGCTCCACTGTGATTCCTTAGCTTCCCCCCTTGGAGTTTCTCTAGAGGTTTTGGTTTCCATTTTTCATTGGTTCTCGTAACCCCTTAAAGTTTTCTTCATTCTGGTGACATGAGTTCTTTCTGTTTTCTCATAGAGATGGTCAAACTGCCTTCTCTGTGGGAATTACCTAACAGACGTGTTTCCCTCTATTTTACTCCTTTTGGTGAAACACGTCTGTGACTTCTGTTATTTTCCGATATCTAAGATCCTTTTCCAGCAAGAAAATTGTTATCAATGGAGTATATACTTTAGCACTGTACCTTCAAGTTTTTTCCACCTGTAGGACTTTCTTTAAAGTTGTCTGCGCCGCTGATAATTTTGTAAGTGGAAAGCACATTTCTAACATCTTACATGCTTGGTTCTTTCATTCAACGTGTGTCTGCTGTGTGTTCCTTACTATGCAGTATGCCTTCTTTAAGTCTACCCCCTCCTAACATGTTCAAAATGGGAAAGACGACCTGCCTGCTTCGAAAGAACTCTCTTGGCTGTATTTTCCAACACTGAATTTTTGGTTGATATTCAAACAGTGCATGGTACAGTCAGCACTGCTCTCTGCTTTGTTTTGTCTTTTGAGTCGTTCTGGTTTCCATATGTAGGGTGTCTTGGTGTCATCCCACCACTCATCTGCTCTTCAGTCATTAGTCGTTAGTCATCAGTCTTTTATGCCTCAAGTGTATTCTTCTAAGCTCAAGTGAGGTAGGTATTTTAGCTATTGTCGACTTCTTTGAACTTTTCTTCAGCTTCAACATGCATTTGAGCAATTGATGATCTGTTCCACAGCTGATCCCTGGCCTTGTTTTGACTGACGAGCTTCTCCATCATTTCTTTCTACAGATGTGGTTGATCTGATTTTCATGTAGTCCATTCAGAGAGGTCCATATATATAGTTTTCATTTTTGATGTTTAATAAGGAATTTGCTATGAATTCATCATTAGTTTCTCAAAATTGTATTTTGTATTTTGAGTGTCATTTCTATCACTCACACCACATTTTTCAACTACTGATACTTAATACAAATTTCACATTCATCAGTGTACATGATTGCATGGTTGATCTATTTCAGGCTGCAAAAGTTAGGTGAAATTTTCAATACATATATATTTTTAATCATTCTATTGTGAGCTGTTAGAGATATCATAACATTCCATAGTTCAATCACATCAAGCAGTATTACACAATTGCTACTACAATCAGTTTCAAACCATTTTCTTTCTTCTAGAACTCCTTGATATCAGCTCCCCTTTATCCCCTCCCACCCCCACCCTTCAATTTCTTTATTGTGGGAAACAGAACCTGGATGAAAGTGTAAGCAGCCTTATCTCTATACTCCTGACCACAGGGCTTGGAAGACCAGTGCTCATGCTAGAGGAAATCCTCCACAGTCCAGAGGCTATAGATAAAGCTGATAATACACAATCTCCAGATAGAAAGAGTTTTCTCTACAACTGTCCTCCATTAAGATGCTAGTCTTAGGCTGACTTTCATTAGTCAGCTAAAAAGATGCCTAGTTTAAGAGCAATGAGGTTCTTTTTGTTGCTATCAAGAAGTCAACTGTTCCTTTGTCTCATATATACCTTCTGTTTGGGTCCTAAGAGATGGTTGTGTAACCGAGCGGCAGAAATCAAAAGGGAGCCAAAAGTATTTAGGCGGGCACCTCTTCCATGATGTCAGGTCTGAGCTGGATAGAGAGAGAAAGTATATTCTTTCACCGATTTATATAAACTCGGGATATGCAAACCCATCCCCACCCCCCAATACACACACAGAGACACCTACCCACATAATGAGGTGGCAGAGTCTTTACCCTGGAGGTCCCTGAGTTCATTGGTTGAGTAACTTAACACCAGCGCTGAGGGCAGTTAGAGGGAAGTAACTTGTCCCCTGAGCGGGGAGAACAATCACAGTGTGTCTGCTCCTATGGATAAAGCTGGCGGCTGTTAGAGATTAGCCATGTGCTTTTATGAGGTCTCATTAAGGTATCGCTACAATGGGAGGATATTGTGGGGATGATGGGGATGAATTTTCATTAGGACAATATGACTGGGACACTTCTCTAATCCGAAAATGTGAAGGCCTCCCTCCATCCAGAATCCTGGCCTTGCAGGCTTCTTTAATCCAGACAATAGAGAATCTGTCTGCAAATGTTCTCTTCCTGGTTGTCAATTTCCCACTGCTTGATACTTATCATGAAGTGTTCTTAAAGGATCAGGTTATCCAGTTTCACACTTTGCCCATTCTGTTGTGTATTTGGCTGCTGGAGACTTGCATGTCTCACTACTACATAAACTCACTGCTAAATGACCTCGATCACTCATCATCAGCAATGCAGATGAGGCCGCTGTTCCCTGTATGTGCTGTCTGCTTAATCTTCCTTAATTTCACATGGTTCTTCTATGGACCCATTTAACTGTGAGGTTGGATCCCACAGTTTATGTCTGCTTTAAGAGTTGGTACAAAAATGTAAATAACAGTTGTAGCCATTGCTCTTACTTGCAGGCATATGAAAATTAACCCACCACTGGCAACATTGTACTTCAAGAAAGATATTGCAATGTACTTTTTTTTTTTACTTATTTTTTAGGGGCTGCAATGTACTTTTTTTGATGATGAATACGACACCAACCTACTTGAAGTTGTCAATCTCAGCCTTATAAACCACTTGATAATCTAAAAATAGCTACTGCTTAAAGTCCAATCATACATACAATATCAATTTTTAAACATTTCATTTTGACAATTTCCAATTTTTCTTGACAGTGCTTCATGCATTCTGTCTTCCAATTATTAGTGCATGTTTGCAGCAGCTATTTCTTCTCCTTTTCACTCATGCCATGTCACCCAGTGAAGGTCCCCAAAGCATTACTCCATCCACATCATTACTGTTCACTGTACTTTGACGTTATTACTTCTAACGTGTTATTTCAGTGCCGTTATACCTGAGGGGTTCATGTTCTAGAAGTTAATCACCAGTTCTACCTCCCAGTCTCTATTTCTGGAAATTCCACTAAGACGTATGCACCATGTGTGATCCTGCTGGTATTTGAAATACTGGTGGTATTGCTTCTGACATCACAGCAACCTGTATGCCACCACAGGAAAACACTGGAAGATGAGTTTTGTCAGCTAGACTGTAGGCTTTCCATAAACATAAGGATTATGTTTGTGTATCATAGTACCTCTCATATATACCTGTAAAATTGTGTTCTCCCAAGTTGAACATTCTGCATTTTTCACATTTCCAATTTGTCTAGTACTTAGTTGTATTTCAGTAAAGATTGATGGAATGAATACATCTGACCTCTAGCAACTGAAATTAGCAGGCCTTACCACCCTTGTGGTCTATGAGTTTCTGTGTTTTGCTTGTATTACATTCTTTGTTTATTTTCATGGTCCCATTAAGCAACTATGAAATCTGTGTTCATTCATTATTTTCACATCCAACCGGATTTCTACAGTAACTGCTTTTACCATTTGGATTGTTTACACAATTGTATTCGTACCAATGGGCAAGAAACATGAAGCATAGTATTTTATTTACGTTCATATAAGCAGTTTGTTGTTAAAGATCTACCTTGTATCAATGCATGTTCTAAGGGATCCATGTAAATCAAGATGATGGAAAGTTTCCATGTTTGTTTTTTTATAGAGATCCACAAAGTTGATAATCATTTGGTTGAACCCTCGCAACATGAAAGAAGTGTGGACAGAACTGAACAATGCTATCAATTTAATACATTGGAAAATATTCTTCATCAGCACAAAAATAATTTTCCTCTAAAGGAAAATTATGAGATATTAGGCTTACATGATAAAATTGTAAAATCAGATTTAATCATTCTGGCATTAAATCAGAACAGTAGCAGCAAAAGAAAAAAGTCAGTTGTGTTCAATGGAGACGAGAAAACTTTTCTCAATATTGAACAGGAGCAATTTTGTACTGAAATGATGTTCCCTGAGTGTGAAAAATCCAGTAGCATGAAGTCACAATGCATTCAACATCAGGAATCTGAAAAAATTGAGAAACAGCGCATGGGTGATAAATGTGGGAAAACCTTCTTCAAGGAGTCTTTCCTCTGTGAGCATCAGTTCATTCATATTCTAGATAAGACCTATGAATGCACTCAGTGTGGGCAAGAATTCGACAAAGTATTCACACTCACTGCACATTCTCGAACAGCACCTAAAGGACAAAAACCATACACATGCTTGGAGTGTGGCAAAGCTTATCATAGTAAATCATATCTCAAGGAACATCAGAAAACTCATGTGGCAGGGACCCCCTGTGTATGCAGTGAATGTGGGAAAGGCTTCACCAAGAACAGTGATCTCACTGCTCATCAGCAAACTCATACTGGAGAGAAACCCCATGTATGTGGTGAATGTGGCAAAGGCTTCATTCAGATTGCACATCTCAAAATTCATCTACGAACTCATACTGGAGAAACTCCTTATGTATGCGGTGAGTGTGGTAAAGCTTTCAGCCAGAAGCAATCCCTAACAGCACATCAGATATCTCACACATGCAAGAAACCCCATGTCTGTGGTGAATGTGGAAAAGCCTTTATCTGGAAGAACCTCACTCATCATCAGCGAACCCCTACTGGAGAAAAACCTAATGTTTGTGATGAGTGTGGTAAAGCTTTCAGTCTGAAACAATACCTTCCAGCACACCAGACAGTTCACACAGGAAAGAAATCCCATGTCTGTGGTGAATGTGGAAAAGCCTTTAGCAGGAAGACGAGCCTCACTGTTCATCAGCGAACTCATACTGGAGAGAAACCCCATGTCTGTGGTGAATGTGGCAAAGCCTTTATCTGGAAGACTGCTCTCATATATCATCAGCGAACTCATACTGGAAAGAAACCCCATGTATGTGATGAATGTGGAAAAGCCTTTATCTGGAAGACGAACCTCATTGTTCATCAGCGAACTCATACTGGAGAAAAACCTAATGTATGCAATGAGTGTGGTAAAGCTTTCAGTCAGAAACAATACCTTACAGTACACCAGGCATTTCACACAGGAAAGAAACCCCATGTCTGTGGTGAATGTGGAAAAGCCTTTAGCAGGAAGACGAACCTCACTGTTCATCAGCGAATTCATACTGGAAAGAAACCCTATGTATGTGATGAATGTGGAAAAGCCTTTGCCTGGAAGAATGTTTTTACTGATCATCAGCGAACTCATACTGGAGAAAAACCCCATGTCTGTGATGAATGTGGAAAAGCCTTTAGCAGGAAGAAAAACCTCACTGTTCATCAGCGAACTCACACTAGAGAGAAACCCTATAAATGTGAAGAATGTGGAAAAACCTTTGCCTGGAAGAATGTTCTCACTGTTCATCAGCAAACTCATACTGGAGAGAAACCCTATGTATGTGGTGACTGTGGAAAAGCCTTTACCTGGAAGAGTAAGCTCACTGTTCATCAGCTGATTCACACTGGAGAGAAACCCCATGTATGTGGCAAATGTGGAAAAACCTTCATCAGGAAGGATCATTTCACTGCTCATCAGCGAACTCATACTGGAGAGAAACCCCATGTATGTGGTGAATGTGGAAAAGCCTTTACCTGGAAGAGTAACCTCACTGTTCATCAGCGAACTCATACTGGAGAGAAACCCCATATATGTGGCGAATGTGGAAAAACCTTCATCCGGAAGGATCATTTCACTGTTCATCAGCAAACTCATACTGGAGAAAAAACCTTATGTATGGTGTGAGTGTAGTAAAGCTCTTAGCCAAAAGCACTGCCTTACAGCACATCAGACATTTCACACAGGAAAGAAACTGTTTGCATGTATTAAATGTGGAAAATCTTACATTTGGAATTCAAGTGTCATTTAACACGAGAAGATTCTTAACAAGAAAACCTTTCAATGGGGTTAGTGTAACAAAGCTTTCCAAACAAAGGAATAGACACTAGGGTTTGGTCTGGGCTGATTGCGGGGCCACATAACGGTAACTTACCATGTGGCTACCCATACTCAGAATTGCTGTCACTATTGACATGGTCCACAGGTGTGGGTAGAGGGACTTCCAGACTTCCGAATAGTGCATGGGCCCCTCCTTGCTCTTCAAGCTTTCAGTTCCCCAAAGAACTGGACCTTGTGTTTCTGGATCACAGCTATGCCAAGCAATAGGGGGCCCACCCAGATGTTAATAGTGCCTACCCCACCTCCATGCTCTTTGTTACCCACCACCCCACCCCAGACAGCACAAACATACCATAAAATATGAGTGAAGAAAATAGAAGATATATGGAAACAATTAGTCCAGAGGAAGACCCACAGTCAACCTCAGCCTCCATGAAGCTGAGACCAGAAGAACTAGAGAGTGTCCAGCTAAGATAGTCCTGATTAGAGTGGGAGAACAAAGGGGAACAAATCCCCAAATCATAAAATAGACCAGGCTTTGCATGAGAAAAAAACATTCTACTGCTGAAAAAGCAGTTGATCCTAAGTCATGTTTACTTACGGATAAAATGGTCAACTCTGGAGTATTGGAGACAATCACTGGCAGTGTTAGTACAGGAAAGGAATCTCTGGTCTTTCACGCGTATAGAAGGAGCACGGAGGATGAAAAGGAAGATAGTAAAGTTTGTACCTACAGATTGTGCCATCAAGGTGTTTAAAATAACCCTTAATGAGTTCAAGAATCGTGACAAATATATTAAAGATGATTAAAAGTTTAAAGACCACTTCAGTAAACTAAATTCACGTAAGATCATCCTCATGAGGGCAGAAAAAGAAATGGACTATCTCTCAAGAATGCAGAGCACTGGAATTCCTTGTCCAACAGTTGTCATGCTCAAGAAACACATTTCCGTTATGTCTTTTATTGGCCATGATCAAAGTTCCTGCTCCTAAATTAAAAGAAGTAAAGCTCAGTGGTGACGGATTGAACGATGCCCACTATCAAACTCTTGATATGATGCAGCGGTTATATAATGAATGTCCACTGCTCCGTCCTGACATCAGTGAGTATAACATGCTGTGGCACGCTGGAAAGGTCTGGTTGATGTTAGCCAGTCTGTAGAACCAACCTCGGCCTGGAGTTCCTGTTCTGGGACTGTAGCAATGTCTCCCCGTTTTTCCAGAAAGGAGGAGTTATGGAAGTTCTCAGTGAACGAAAACTTTAATGCTGTTTCAGGCTTAAACATCTCAGCAGACAGTGAAGCCGATTTCTTAGCTGAGATAGAAGCTTTGGAGAAAATGAACAAAGATCATGTTCACATGAATGGAAGGAACACTGCCTTATTTGTGAAGGACGACACAGGTCCACCAGTACTACATAATGAATAACACCAGTACTACATAATGAATCACACCGATGCCCGCTGCCTTTCTATATTAACAGTGACTATGACCATGATTCTAAAGGAAAAATTATTTTCTATAGTAGCTATGAAAAATGCAAATTTGGCTTCACAAAAGCTGACGGAAACCGGATAACCTTTCCCTGGGTCATCATGAAATGGAATTGAATGGAACGTCTTCCATACTATAACACCCAAGAAGAGACATCATAAGTTTGTGGAGAAGATAAATGCATAAGAACTACTTAAGTATCCTGGTCCAAAAAGTTTCTTGAAATTTTCGATTTTTTTGCATCTACTTAATATGGTTAAACTGTAACTCACAGCTATAATGTAAATGGATTATTGGAAAGCATGGGCTGTAAGATTTAAACCATTTTATTCAAACCAGTTAGTAATTTTCGAGGGAAATATGGCAAATTAGAAATAGTAGATAATTCTTTTTTTTTTTTTCTTTTTTAACATTTTATTAGGGGCTCACACAACTGTTATCCCAATCCATACACATATCAATTGTGTAAAGCGCATTTGTACATCGTTTCTCAAAACATTTTCTC